CTTACTCACGCGTTCAAAATGTGCCAGGGTCTGGAAGTTGAAGGTTTGAGGTATGAAACGGGTGTGATTCGTGTATGATTCGGGTATGATTCGCGGAGCGCTATTCAGCACACCGTATCAGATCTAGACAGGAGCTACAACGGCCAGTCAGCACCAGAAGCTGGTCGATGCAAACGGTATCGGCTGCCACAATGAAGCTACAGCGGCCAGTCAGCACCGAAGCTGTCTTCAACCTACTTGTCTGCACATGGCAGCCAGACTGCGGGGATGGAGGGCGGGATGGCGCAAGGCAAAGGGCGCCTAAAGGCAGCATGAAGCTACAGCGGCCTGTCAGCACCGAAGCTGTCTTCAACCTACTTGGCTGCATAGGGCAGCCAGACTGCGCAAAGGGCGCCTAAAGGCAGCATGAAGCAAGTGTCGCGACCCATGATCTCCAAACAACAACCATCAGCAAGCCCTCAAAAATGATCTTCATTTTGGGGGTTTGCTTCGGGGTATGCTTCGGGGCTATGCTTCGGGGTGTGCTTCGGGGGTATGCTTCGCAAGAGCGCCACCTTCCACCAATACATGTCTGGGACCCCGGAAAAAATACTAACCCATATAGATATATTATGTGGTTAACCGCGCCATAAACGAGACTTCCAAATTTGCACATGTTTCTTCCTGTCAGATGCCTCAGCTGTCTTGTCAAGCACTTCCAGCTCCTGTGTTTATGTGCACCCGCACTTGATGTTACGGCTGGGGGGTTGGGTGGGGTGGGGTGGGGTCCGGCTAATAACGTTCATGTTCAATTGCGTACACACGGGATGCTACGGACGTTATCAGATCGTCTCATGCACTGGCGCGCGTACTTCATGCACTGCGGTATGGGATCTTCTCCGCAATGCCATTCTACATTGGGAATAACATGGAATAACTACTTGGTAGTGTGGCATCATAGCTACATACACTGCTCTGCACATGATCTAAACTATAGTTATATTTGAAGCCCAATATGCAGGGGCTCAGGGGTTCGATATTTCTCGACTTTTGTATGTGAAAATAAAACATAATAAAACAACATAGAATATGAATGTCCTGATTTCGTCTGCTCCCTTTGATGTTATAAACAGGTCAAGGCTCCTGGAGAATGGTCAGAAATGCTTGGAAGTCCATGAGACCCCCTGGAGCCATTGAGACGCAACGTTGGAGAATCTCTTGCCGATGGAAACCTCGGGCGGGTTGACATGTCCTTCTTCGGCACTGAGCAAATTGGAGATTCTGAGTTTCTAAGCCATTTCGGACCATTTCCATCCCCAAGGCCCCAAGTTTTTAACATCTTTTAACTACCACTGTTGGTAAGTTCTTTCTCGGTTTCAGAGATGATATTCACGCATGTCGGTCAATGCGACTGGTGCGACTGGTGAGTCTTGAGACAGTCTGAATAGTATGTGTCTCTGCTGATGCACCAAAAAAGTAAGAAAAAAACGCATTTGGAGGTACGGTTGCCGAAGCTATAGTCCCATGCTTTACTTTGGCCGTTGAGACCTTGGTACGGTGCAAAGCATCGACCAATCCCTATATCTTTCCTATTCCAGCTAAGTGTCAAATCAGGGCCAAGGCATCTTGCAGGATCGCTTCCTCTCCAACGAAAACCGAACACTAGGCATTGCACCCACAGAATGGATGTGGAAACAACCCGGGTATATCTGTTGTAACCAACAAGCATCAACACTATACTTGCTTGTGAATTCCTTTTGTCCCATATGTTTCCTACTCAAATCTTCTTTGCTGCTGAAATCTCGTTGAGAAAAACGAACTCGTGTTCGGTCTTCGTTTCACAAATACACACATTGCACTCTTTGTGAGTTTTCCAAATCCCCACTTTCACTGCTTAAATCCCATATTACTGGTGAAATTTCCAGGTTCTACACATTCAGGCACCCGCATCACTTAGGGCAACACCAAACGCATCACTTCAGGCAACATCCAGAAATCACACACTCCTCACACTTTGGACGCTCACTTTGGGCAACACGGCAAACATCGTTCTTATCATCATTACTTGACTCAGCAATTTAGGTTTTGGTTCGGGGGGAGGGGTCATTCTACTTACACCACTACTTAACTCAGCCATTTAGGGTTTGGTTCGGGGGGGGGTCATTCTACTTACATCATTACTTGACTCAGCCATTTAGGGTTTGTTTGGGGGGAAGGGGTCATTCTACTTACATCATTGCTTGATTGAGCCATTTAGGGTTTGGTTGGGGGGGGAGGGGTCATTCTACTTACATCATTACTTGACTCAGCCATTTAAGGTTTGGTTGGGGGGGAGGGGTCATTCTACTTACATCATTACTTGACTCAGCCATTTAGGGTTTGGTTGGGGGGGAGGGGTCATTCTACTTACATCATTACTTGACTCAGCCATTTAAGGTTTGGTTGGGGGGAGGGGTCATTCTACTTACATCATTACTTGACTCAGCCATTTAGGGTTTGTTTGGGGGGAGGGTTCATTCTACTTACATCATTACTTGACTCAGCCATTTAGGGTTTGTTTGGGGGGGAAGGGCCATTCTACTCACATCATTCCTTGACTCAGCCATTTAGGGTTTGTTTTGGGGGAGGCGTCATTCTACTTACATCATTACTTGACTCAGCCATTTGGGGTTTGGTTGGGGGGGAGGGGTCATTCTACTTACATCATTACTTGACTCAGCCATTTAGGGTTGGGATCATTCTACTTAGATCATTACTTGACTCAGCCATTTAGGGTTTGGTTGGGGGGGAGGGGTCATTCTACTTACATCATTGCTTGACTCATCCATTTAGGGTTTGTTTGGGAGGAAGGGGTCATTCTACTTACATCATTCCTTGACTCAGCCATTTAGGGTTTGTTTGGGGGGGAGGGGTCATTCTACTTACATCAGTACTTGACTCAGCCATTTAGGGTTTGGTTGGGGGGGGTCATTCTACTTACATCATTACTTGACTCAGCCATTTAGAGTTTGGTTGGGGGGGAGGGGTCATTCGACTTACATCATTACTTGACTCAGCCATTTAGGGTTTGTTTGGGGGGGAGGGGTCATTCTACTTACATCATTCCTTGACTCAGGCATTTAGGGTTTGTTTGGAGGGGAGGGGTCATTCTACTTACATCATTACGTGACTCAGCCATTTAAGTTTTGGTTGGGAGGGGATCATTCTACTTACATCATTACTTGACTCAGCTATTTAGGGTTTGTTTGGGGGGGAGGGGTCATTCTACTTACATCATTACTTGACTCAGCCATTTAGGGTTTGTTCGGGGGGGAGGGGCCATTCTACTCACATCATTACTTGACTCAGCCATTTAGGGTTTGTTCGGGGGGGGAGGGGTCATTCTACTTACATCATTACTTGACTCAGCCATTACTTGACTCCATCATTACACCATGAGCCGATCTTCTCTTGCACCTGCACACCAACATGATCTCACGCTATCACATCTTCTCCTGACGCTATCATCACCATGAACATGAAGAAGATGAAGATGAATAATACTCGGAGGAAGAAAATGCTTATAACAAGGATGATCATGAAGAAGAAGAAGATGATGATGATGATGATGATAATGAGGATGATGATGATGATGATAATGAGGATGATGATGATGATGACGATGGTGATGCTCACTTGGTGGTCAACATGATGGTCAACCATGAGTGGACAACATGATGATGGGGTACCTGCCCTCCGACCCCTCATGATGGGTAACATGATGATGATAATGATTGAATATGTCTATTCTGGACGACGACGGTGATGGTGATGATGGTGATGATGATGATGATGATCGTGATGATGACGATGATGATGATGATGATTGTGATGATGATGGTGATGATGATGGTGATGATGATGGTGATGATGATTGTGATCATGGTGATGGTGATGATGATGATGATGATAATGAGGATGATGATGCTGAGGTATCCCGAAGCGATGCATGAGGCGTAGCCCGAAGCGATGCACCCGACGTATCCCGAAGCGATGCCTATGCCCCTTCAATCCATTGAAAATAGATGAAATCTGATCAAATCTATAAAACAGATCAAATCTCCAGAAATCCTCCATTTTTCCCAGGTGAATTCCCCACCTGCTCCGCCCCCGCATCGAACTGTGCCAGGCCATCAGCCGCGCACTGCGCCGCAAAACCGCCGCTGTGCTCCGGCAGCTCGTGCTCCAAGCAGTGCAGCTGCAGGCCGCAGTCGAACCTGGGATGGGGGATCCCTGGGGGATGGGGATGAGTCAAAACATGTCAAAACCTAAGTCCAGCCACACAAAAAAAACAAGATGAAGCCCACGAACCCGAATGCTCACACGTATGTTGAAGATAACTATGTTAAAGTATCGATAATGATATGAGATGCAAATGTCAATGCTCAAACCTATTGCTCCGGAACTGTTTTCTCTCCGCGACAGCAGCATTGGCGTCACAACGCAGTGGCGCGCGGCAAGCAGCGCCTTCCAAGACATGGAAACCATGCGAGACGAACGTATCACACATGAAATGTCTTGTGTTGGGAATCACATGCGTCGATGCAACAAGATAAAATGTATGGATCAACGAACCAGAAAGTATCGGAAACGTGTTGAAACATCCTGTAGTGGCACCAAGCACGCTCGATGCCTCCACGGCACTGGTGTTGCAAAGCTGCATCGCGACGCAGTCATCACCTGCCAGAACACACGAGCCAGACGAGGCACAGTTGTAGCTGACGAATCAGTTTATGAGTTATGGAAACAGAATCTTGATGAAGACAATTCAATAACGATTGTGTGGGACAACGAAACAACCCAAACAAAAAGGAAAATAAGAACAGCTCTTGCTGATCTGTCCAACAAAATCATATCATCATCAGATTGCAAAGGGAACAGGGACTTCTTTCTACCATCCTGTAACACGTCCTGGGAGCTGCTCAGCAAGACAGCGAGGACAGCGCCACCAGCTGTCGCTCTATACACAACCAAACAGATTTTGGGCATGTCCACCTTCTCGCCAAGACAACGGAGTCACGGACGCCAGCTGTCCCTCTGTTGCGTGAAGTCAAACAAACTCGTCGAAATAGATGCCAAGACCAGACGAGGCTCACCTGGCCATTTGTGTTGCCAGCGACAATGCAAACCACCAGATGAGCAGTGTCTGGTTCCATCGAGGTCGCATTTTTGCTCCGACAGAGATGGAAGCTCGATCAAATCAAACCTTGACGCAAAGCAAGCACAGGAAACCCGGGGTCTCTGGCTGGACCGCCCAGCCACAGACGCTGGGAACTGACTCGCAAGGCACTCAGATGGCACGGATGAAGAACTGATCCTCAAGATCCGCTGTGAGAATTGCTTGTGTGTCACGAACATGAAACATCATTTTCCAGGAAAACCTGCAGAACGACATGACAACCTGCATGGAAACATTCGAAAAGGAGGTGTTTTGCCGCTTCCCCCATAGACACAACGACGCCACAGGAAAACGAGACACACAGACAAGACACGTGGATGCAGAAAAAAGAGCGTTTCGTGCGAGACTTCCTCCAATTGTGACATTTGCGACACATTATCAAACAGGTTGGAATGTCAAAAAGTGCCACGTCTGCCACGCAAAACAACATGACAACCTGCTTGGAAACATTCGAAAAGGAGAGGTTTTCCAGCTTCCCCCATGGACACGGCGACGCCACAGAAACACAAGCGCCGCAAGACAAGACACGTGGATGCAGAAAAACTAGCATTTTGTGCGAGACTTCCGGCAATTTTCACAGTTGGCAACATGACAAAAGGACACGTTTTGCAGCTTCCCCCATAGACACGGCGAGGCCACGAGAAAACCAGACACGCGAGAAGAGACAGGTGGGAGCACCAAAACAAGCATTTCGTGCGAGACGTCCTCAAATTTTCACACTTTGCAGCTTCAAAATCGACGTTTTCCTACGAGTTTTCCTTAGAACCCGAAAATTGGCAACATCAAAATCGATGTTTCGTGCGAGGCTTCCGTCAATTTTCAGCACATGTCAGAAAATGCCACGCCTGCCACGGAATTTGCACCTTGTCACCACTTGACGCAGCCCTGCCAATGCGATTTACAAAAAACACGCCACAGGACGCGTCTAAAGTGCTGCGCCTGCCACGAAAAATGACGATGGACGCGTCCAAAGTGCTGCGCCTGCCACGAAAACTGCAACACATCTTCTGAAAACGTCGCAAAAGTATTGCGCCTGCCACGCAAAACGACTTTCGACACGTTGCAGAACACGTCTGAATGTCACGAAGTGCCACGCCTGCCACGCGAAACGAAGCAGAACCAGACGTCTGAAACCTCCAAAAAGGACCACCTCTGTAAAACTTCCCATAGGCACGGCCATACGGTCCTCACGCGAACGGTTGCGGACGGTTGCGGACGGTTGCGAACGGTTGCGGACGGTTGCGACCACAAACGCAACGTCGAGCGAACACACCCTCAACCCCCAGACCCCCAGAGTGAAACGGGAACCCTTGCTACGCATTCGGGAACAAAATGTGGCTAAGGATTTTCATGGATTTTCACCAGAGACAGATGTCCAATGATGTCCAACTGAATGCCGTAAATTGTGAAAGGTTTGTGCAATGAACCTGTAAATTCGATTAGGAGAAACGTTTCAATCGTTAGAATCATATGGATTTTGACGGGCACAAATTTGGCAAACCTAACTGAAGTAATTGTCAACTGACATCCGGATGTATCCGGATGTGGCGGCGTAACTTGGACCGCTTAATCATGGTGAGGAACTGAATTTCAGTAATGACCGTATAGGTACCCCCCCATAAAATCTATTAACCCACATACCCAGAAAAATAATGATGAGTTTGTCTCGAAGTAGGCTACAGCACCTGTGATTGATGATCATTCTTTCCATCCAAAAACAACATGTTGGTGGTATGCCTCATTTTCAGAGACTCCCAAGTATCATGTTGTTGGAATACTACCACATTATATCCTCGTTATATCTCCATTCTCTAGATGTTGTCCCAAAAAAGAACTCAACTCATGATATCCCAATCATTCAGTAAACCAGTAAACCAGTAAACCAGTAAACCCAATGCCATAAGCCATTCCCAAAATCACCAGAAATGGGTTGCTTATTCTACCATCCCAAAATGGTGGTTCTTTATTTATCATTGGGTTTTCCCACATGAATGAAGTTCAAGCTATATTAATTATATATATATATACATATATATATATATATGTATATATAATTATATATATATGGGGGTTGTCCAAAATACCTTTTCCCGGACAGCCCTCAATCGCTCAGCCAATCGCGTAGCAACCGCGGTACCACAGTGAGCAATCGCGGAAGGGTTTGTTCTTCGTTGATCAGATCATATACGTGAAATATAGTAGGAATAGGAGTAGGAGTTCTAGTAGCAGGGCAAGGGAAGAAAGGGAAAGGGAGGGAAAGAGAGAAAGAGAGAGAGAGCGAGGGAGGGAGGGAGAGGAACAGATGGTTGCGTTTGGCCGGTTTCTGACGGGTTTCTGACTGGTTTCTGACTGGTTTCTGATTGGTTTCTGACTGGTTTCTGACCCTTCAGCGGGACTCGTGTCAATTGGATTTAAAAGCAAAGGCAGAAATTCCTAGGTGTACTAGTGGTAGTGGTGGTGCAGTAGCAGCGGGTGTGGTGGTAGTACTAAGAGTAGTAGCAAGTCTAGTAATGAGAGTAAGGATCCATGCGTGAACGCATTCGAATTCAAATTTGGGAGCAAAATAAGCTTGCGCGGTCCGGAAACGGTCCGGAAAACTCACAGTAGTACCAGCAGCAGTAGTACTAGTAGTACTAGTAGTACTAGTAGTACTAGTAGTACTAGTAGTACTAGTAGTACTAGTAGTACTAGTAGTACTAGTAGTAGTACTAGTAGTACTAGTAGTAGTACTAGTAGTAGTAGATTAGTATTAGTAGTAGTAGTAGTAATAGTAGTAGTCGTCGTCGTCGTCGTCGTAGCCGTATAACCAATCGCCAACCAATCGCTCAGCCTATCGCGATGCAGGTTTTGGCACTCGCGCAAAGCAGAGTAAACGCACCAATTCATAAATTTGTTACCTGCTTTTACGGACGGCTCCCATATATATGCAGGTTTCCTATAACAGGGCTACCTCCAAACCATCCAAGTCATTAGACCAAGTATTGCAACCATTTGCAAGCCAATGGGGACTTGGGGATCCATGGGGATCCTGCATTTTGAGAAACCTCCCAGGATATCCACCCCCCAGGCACCTCATCGACAAGGACGGCTCCGAGGATTGGGACCCCGACCGCTGCAGCACCGCGACGCCGCCGCTGTTGCTGAAGCGCCCCGCGTAGTGCGAGGCGCTGAAAATCGTCAGCAAACGGCCTAAAAAAAGTGCCCAGGGATGACCCGGAAACCAGTTGGAAATGGCAGATGTGGGAAGAAAATGGAAGAAGTACATATAAAATCATATAAAATCATAAAACACTGAAAAAATAGCTTCTCAACTTTTGGAGGTAGCTAAGCTAAGTATAGAAAGACTGTGAAATACCGCAACTTGTTGCTGTGAAAAATGTTGGAACTGGGAGATGTTTGTCCGTTTTTTGGAAAAGAGCATGGACCTGAGTTGCTGCTGGTTCCGGTTTTTGTTTGACAGCATGCAAGTCGTGAATCGAAATCAGTGTTGCAAACCGTAGACTATGTTTAGCTGTATGACAAGTGTTCGGCTCGCCCGAACAGCTCAGGCACGATACGTAATGCTGACATGTGCTGACTATATCTATATCATTCCAAAAGGATGCTAAGAGATGCTAAGAGAGCCTCAGGTCCAAGGGATGCAACATACTTCTCAACTCTTCACTATGCGCCTATCAAGCTGCTCTGAAAACAACCTCTGAAAACCAGCAATTCGCTGCTTCCAAAGCAGAGCTGCCCTCGTCCAATGGTCCAAGCTGCCATTGTGAAGAAGTTCGTAGCCATCCATGGTTTTTGGCACCTGCACGGCTCGTTCCCCCACTCCCCCCGTGACAAGAAGCGATACCCAAGGAATCCTCCAGACTTGTGCTATTTTTCCCTTGGAAATCATTGGAGCTGAAAGGGGAAGAGAATCATAGTAAAAGTCAAACACGTTTGCAGACATCTGGAGAAATTAGGCATTTCATCTCTGTGAGATGCCAGGAAATAGCTGGCAGTTGCAGAACACCAATGGCAAAACCCATCGATCGCCGCCATGGCTGAGACCCACCTGATGGGACCGGATGCAAAGGCTCAGGTCGTTGTCCTGCAAAAACCTCAAGATTTGCCACAAGATGTTGCCTCCCAACATTGAGGGACCCCTTGACAATAGGGTAGACCCAAAACCATCAACCATCCCAAGTTCAGCAAGAATGAAAGCTTTATGGTATTGGTCTTGCCATAATTTTACCTTTGTTCGCCATCGACTGGCTTCTTCCAGGTGACTTCTCTGTGACGTCCGGACCAAAGTTGATGACGACGCTCCCTCGACTAGACCTACAGGGGAATCATAACCGAATTGGCAATCTCATGTGTCCACCCCCTTTGGCTGTTTGCGCATGTCAGGATTACATACTGTAAAGCGTGATGCCGTAGATTGGTCAATCCCCACCCCGCCTGACAGAAACATCAGGCTGAATCATCCATAGTTCTGAGGTTTTCAATTAAAAAAAATATTGGTTTAACATGCTATTGTGTCAACATATGATATCTATTGATATCTCAGATATCTCTGAGAAGAAATCCCCAGGGGTCCCGGCCTGGTGATCCCAGGAAGCTCCACGGGATCTGCCCATTGCGCATCGAAGAGGATCTCCTCCTGGTGGACAATTCCCACGAAACCATGAAAAATGGATAAAAAATTGTAAGGTCATGTAAGGTCCTAAGGTTACTCTTCAATCTTTGTGGGAAAACGATCCTATGTATACCTCATTTTGTGAATGAAAGGACTTGTTGATGCCTTTTGATTGGGATGTGTGGAAAACAATCGGGAACTACCTTTGAAGGGCCCTTTGAGATAGGTCACCAGTGGTTGACGAGGGCTTTCGGGGTAGTGACTCACATACCTAAAAGGCAAGTGGAATTTGGCTTGGAAAGAACCATCCAAAAATGACCAAAAATGTTGGCGGGGATAAAACTGCATTCTTACAGTAACATAAGCCACCGAAAAAGCTGATATTTCACAAAAAAAAAGAATTTGAAAATTAGGATGATTTGTAGGTAGAGGACTTCGGATCCTTTCATCTTTCTCTCCATAGTTGAACAACACTCAATGGCCACATCACTTCTTGAACGAATGGACGCTGTGTCTGCTGGGATCACACAAGACAGGCGGTCATACCATCACAATAGTTGCCAAGCATCTACTTCTTATATCTTCTTATACCATCTAGCTACTAATGATATCATCATGGGAGGTTGGTTTGATCCAAATCCCCAACCCTTCCCCTCCTCTTCAGTCCAAGTCTTACCACTTGCCTGTTCTTCCTGAGCGCTCCGCTGCACCCCAGGATAGCTCCCAGGAATGCGAATGACTAAAGGCTTGCACAAGAATGGGTACCAAATCACATACTTTTGGGGGTGTTCAAAAAAATGACAAGCCAAGTTGTATGGGTTGGGAGCAGTTGGAGGGCTGAAATGATTTTGATCGATCTTGACCTATGGTCTCTCTGAAGGAAGCTGATTTGGGGGTTCCGAAGCAGAAGATGTCCCAGTAGAGAAGACATGCGACCGCATTCCATATCCCAAATTGTCACAAAACCCTCAACCATCCACCGCCAATCCCTTTGAGACGAAGCTCTTTGGTCAGGGTCATTGGATAATGCCGCCTGTAGGGCAGCTGCTTGAGCCTCTCCAACGTCACCTCCGACATCTTGGGATGCTCGCTTGGGTCCAGTTCATTTGGGAAATCCACATACCAAACGAAATGGACAGCTTGGGATTTGAATCCCAAACATGAACAACCTGGGATTTCTAGCATGACATCTTCGGATGTGAACTTCTGCCCTTCTCCGTGACACAAGCCGCCTGGGGCGTGCGGAAAAGGCCCCCGTGCACCACAAAGATCTGTTTCTCAATGACTGCGAAGAGCGGCAGAAGCAGAAAGAGCTGTTGAAATCGCTCATAGATACCTTGGCCCAAGAAGGAAAAGGTCTATGTACGATATTATAGTGACGGACAATCACTTAGAACGTAATTTTTTTTCCATTTTTTTTTCGTACTTAGAACGTAGCAAAATTTCATCACTTAGAACGTAGGGAAAATTCATCACTTAGAACGTCAAAAATTCATCACTTAGAACGTAGGGAAAATTCATCACTTAGAACGTCAAAATGGCCGGCAATGCGGCAGGGGGAGTGTTGTGGTTTGGACAAAGCCCTTGGAACTCTATATGTACTGCATGTATGCACTTGTAAACAATTGTCAGCATATGTATGCACACGTATATATATATACACATAGCTTCTTGAAGTGCGTCACCAATACATGTCTATTTGGTCCCTGAGTGGCTTCGCTGAGTGCGGCAACATGATTTCACAAGCCTTTCCACTATCATCAGTGACCTAGACACGTTCTAAGTGTTAAATCCCCGGTACGTTCTAAGTGATGAATCTTGATATTTGGACGTTCTAAGTGTATGGTTTTCGACGTTCTAAGTGCAAGGCTTAGAACGTAAAAAAAGCAGTAATATTCAGATTTTTTTTTTCCAAAATACGTTCTAAGTGATTGTCCGTCACTATATACGATATGATGGTGTTCTAGGTGTGAGAATTTCCCCAAAAAAACATGGTATAGGTTTCTTCCATAGATTTCAGGATTCCCAGAAACTTCTCCTCCAACAGATCTCGGGTGTCAAAAAATGTTTTAATCTCATCAAACCTGGTAGTATCTCATTTCTGGATTCCATCCCCATCATTTGCACCTGAATTCCGGAGTTGTTCTTGCTTCATCTTCCCACTGTAGATGATCACCCCGACATCGGCATCAACCGGTTACCAGCTACGTTCCCAAAATTGGCTACAGTAATTGCAGCTGTCACATGCTGTCACCGAAGAGTAGTAGATCATAACCAAGCAACCTGATTATGCAATTCTATTCAATCCCAAAAAATCCATTTAATTACATGACATGATTTAATTTCTTTATTCATCCAACATCATCCTTTCCACTTGGTCATTTCCCATCACCCATTGGTTGGTCAACCACTCAGCTGTCCCAGCGGCGTGGCCCGTACTTTGCCAGGCACTCCTCCGCGAAGCCTCCGCCGAAGCTCCGCGCGCGCTCGTTCAGCTGTTCGTTCTCGTGGTTGCCCCGCAAGATGTGCACCTGCCCCGGGAAGATCGGCAGGGGGATGGGAAAAGTATGGGGAAAAAAAGGTGGAGAGCTGGATGTTGATTCAAGATATCAAGACTATCAAAGCTATAGGATGAGCAAAAATCGCATTTTGATGATGCCTCTCCTCCTTAGAACATGGATCACTCGGGTGGAATGGCACCAAAGATTAGCGGATGTGGATTCTGGGACAAACTGTCAGCGCCTGCCCAGGGTAGCGCAGCATGAAGGACAAAATCAAGATCCAGGCTTCCACCGCCTGCAGAATCAGGGGAGTTTTCGACGTTGAGGAGCTCCAAAGATGGGAAGTTGCCCTCCAGCCATTCCAAAGCAGCATCCTTCTGAGCTAGGTGCACTGGTCCATCTATCAAGTCACAAAGATTCAAGCTGAAAAGAAATCACAACACAAACACAGGCAAGTCCGAACATAGCAAATACATGTTTGATATATGATATATTCAATATCTTTGGAGGGTGCCAATGACATCCAACAACATCCAATGCCTCCGCGCCCCGGTCCGAGATGTCGCCATTAAACAAGTAGGCACGTTCTTTGCTCGGCGGCCCGTGGCGGTGAAAGATGTGGAGAACCTCGGCAGGCCCCTGCCAAGTCTGGAGATTTTTGTTCACGAAGGGATGGAGAATTTCATGGGTACTGGTAACTTTTCAAGATGTCATGCACGGCACGTGGTGAATGAAGAGTTAGAACCTGTACGTGGTGGCTAGTGAATGCGCGATGATGTTGATGCATTTCATCATCTGAAGTGAGACAGTAAATACATGTAAATACGCCAATAATTAACCCATCAACCAGCGCTTGTAACGCAAAACTGCAAGCCTTTGCTGTCTTTCAAAGGTGTGCCTGGAAAAACCTTCAGCCTTTTGGTCTCCACACTCCTAAAATCCGGCAATCCACCCGGAGATCTGAGACGGGATTTATCCTTATCTTACTCCCCCATTTCTACATGACTGTCCCATTAAAACTGTTCTTTTCTGTGCCAACAAAATGTTTTCCACCATGTATCATATATGTATCATATATCCTCGCTGGAATTTCCAGAGACCCCCAGTGAAGGGATGGCCATCCAGGCTTCATGGAAATGGAGATAGGGGATGAGGGTGTGGGGTGGAACCCCTCTGTTGAACATCATTAAACCATCCCATTTATCTGTAAAATAAAAATAATCGAAATGAGTGTGTATATTTTTTAAAAAAAACATGCATGGGTTTCGGGTATGGCATGTATGTTAGCGTCAATTTTTGTAATAGGATAAGCATGGATAAGCCCTGGAATTGCAGCTCTACATCCAGGCCCAATGCTTCGCCCATCCTTTGGCCCCAAGGCACGTCCTCCAGCTGCCCGTGTGTGTCGCCTTCGGAAAACCGGAGCGGAACGAATCGTATAGAAAATAGAAAGTAATGCTACTTGTCAAGGACAAGTATACTCGAAAATTATTGTCTGTAAGTAGAGCATTATTTGAATTTTTAATATCATTGAATATTCTTGGATAACACATATATAGATACATCCGTAGTACTCTACTCCAAACTCAAGGACAGCATCTTACCTTACATTTTGCCCTCTCGAAAAAAACAACTCACCCAGTCACCAGGTTTGTTTTTCCTTCGCAAATCCCCGGCCTACCACGATGAGTTTAGACCCTGCCGCTGGTGGCAGTTGCAGTGGCAGCAATGCTGTGGTGGCCCTCCTGAGCTCCTGCTGTGCAGCCAGCAGCAGGGCATCCACCGATGCGGCATCTGCAGCTGGGCAACAACAAACATGTGGGATTGATCGACAAACATATGAAAAGCAAACACTAACGGAATAATTGACCATCATTGATGATTTATCCTGTAGTGACAATATGATATGTGGATAATTTTGCAGGAACCTAGTTTGGGAGCGATTGAATAAGTACCGACACCCGAAAAATACAAAATCCATCAAATATTTGACATGGATTGACATGGTGGATTCTATGTTTAAAGTCATAGTATGTTGGATGCTTCAAAGCTACACAGGATGTAGCATCTCTCACAGGTAGGGGAACAATCCACAGTTTACCACATGAATGTTGCAACCCAATAACAAACCCCTTTGTAAATGGGGTGCATATCCCAGAGATTGGAATGAAATAGAATGAAGTTGACTTACTATCCTTTGGCACCTGTACCAATCCTATTGTTTAATTCCTTTCTCATCACTATGCCAATTTCTCAAGATGATCCCAATCATTCCCAATCATTGATGGATGTTTCTCCAACACATTATGCAGCTTTTCATCGCAATTCACAGTTCTCAATTCGGGCTAATGCAACAATGTAGTATGGTATACCGAGTATACCCCAAAATTGTCATTAAATTTTAACACATGATAATATATTAATAATATATGATTCATCAGATTGGGCTACCCCATGTTTCAGTCAAACCCAAATATCATGTCTTTGGTGCTATCCCCATCATATCCGGTATCCCCATGAATGTTGTTTAAATTCCATGGTTAATCATCAAAATGTAATGAAATCTCCAGTATTTCCATGGAGAATTTCCCATTCATGAGCTAAAACCCAATGCCATAAACCATCCCTAATATCACCATTTTTATGGATGCCATGTTTACCATCCCCAATTTGGCAGGTTTATGGTAGCCAGGGCTTTCCACATTGTTCCAAATGGATATCCCATCAATATACCAGTAAGAGCTACTATATTGTAGTAGTAGGTACTAATAATTACTAATAGATCTGCTTACACTATCCTTGATTTCCCATTAGATATTGAGTATAACGGTACAATTAGAAAGCACATCTGTAGTTGAATAGTCCACTTCTATATTTCCAATATAGAAAACCAATGTTGTTGGTGATTTTCTATATATTTTTGGTATACCATACCATATACTATACCAATAGTTACACTGGTTTTTGGGTTTTTCCACATCCAATGGATGTTGGTGATTTTCCCACCTGGCCGCTGCCGGGTGCCACGAAAGCTTCCACGCCAGCAGACCAGCAGTCGCAGCGGGTCCGGCGTGGCCGCTGCGCTTGCGGTCTGGCATGGTGGGCTTTGACAGGTTGGACCAACAGAAAAAATGTTAAAAAACCTTTAAGCAATTGGAAAGCAATTGATGTTTTTTCCCCACCTGCCAGGTGAGAGTTGTTAGATTTTATCGGAGTTGTTCTTCTCCTCCTCGGCTAGCTCTTCTCCTCTTCCTTCTCCTCCTCCTCCTCGCCTCCTCCTCCTCCTCCAGTTTCTCCTCGACCATGTCTGCATCAACTTCCACCTGCACTTCCCCCTTGCCAACTCTTCGCCAAACTCTTTGCCAACTCTCTTCGCCAAGCTCTTTGCCAACTTCCCAGCTCAGTGTGCACCGCTGGACCTCGCCCTGGGACCTTCCCAGCTCAGTGTGCACCGCTGGACCTCAACCTGGGACCTGCCCAGCTCAGTGCGCACCGCTGGACCTCAAACTGGGACCTTCCCAGCTCAGTGTGCACCGCTGGACCTCAACCTGGGACCTGCCCAGCTCAGCGTGCACCGCTGGACCTCAACGGCCAGATAGAATGCCAGAAGATATGCCAGATAGAATGTCAGATAGGATGCCAGAAGATATGCCAGACAAAATGCCAGGAGATATGCCAGATAGAATGCCAGAAGATATGCCAGATAGAATGCGAGAAGATATACCAGATAGAATGCCAGAAGATATGCCAGATAGAATGCCAGAAGGTATGCCAGATAGAATGCCAGATAAAATGTCAGATAGAATGCCACAAGATATGCCAGATAGAATCCCAGAAGACCTGCCAGACAATATGCCAGAAGATATGCCAGATAGAATGCCAGAAGATATGCCAGATAGATAGAATGCCAGAAGATATGCCAGAAGATATGCCAGAACATATGCCAGAAGATATGCCAGATAGAATGCCAGAAGATATGTCAGAATATATGCCGGAAGATATGCCAGATAGAATGCCAGATAGAATGCCAGAAGATATGTTAGATAGAATGCCAGAAGATTTGCCAGTAAGAAAATGTATAAATGTCTGGGGATCACACCAAGTAAAGTAATTTTTGAGATTCCATGATTAAAAAAACACAAGAAGTGGATTGCTTAAGCACGCCATTAATGGTGGAAGGTCATGAAACCTGGCAGATTGTCAAGCAACTCATTGGAATTTGGATGGCTAAGAATTGGAAGCTTTAAACAACAAATGTAGCAAGAATTGGAATTCATTCAAGATATTCAAGCAGAAATTTACTGTACCCGGTTTTCAGGGTTCCAATGTTGTGCAATTTTCAAAAACGACGCACGACTCCCAGACCCAGAGGTAGACAGCCAACAGTCACTGATGTTACGAGTTGAGCGGCAGAAAAACTGGATATGCTGCCAGTAAAACTTCAAATTCAAGGTTTAGCCAATTAAAAAAATACAGTTATTCGGGACAAACAAATATTACTCCGATAGGCGGGTTGATTTATTTGTTTGATTTTGTCATCTGGATCTCGATCATGTGGGTTAAATCAAATGAATCCTGATGCTTGCGTCTTTTGACATCCTACACTACCCTGTCCGTTCAAAATGTGTCCTATTTATATCCAATTTATCCATGTATATCTAAATCTATATCCATCTATATCTATATGTATGTCCATGTTTATGTCTAAATCTACCTCTATATATCTAAATTGAAACCTATATCTATACATATCTATACCTATATCATTCTATGTCCATCTATATACCATTTATATCCTTTTTTTCCCTTCATACCCAAGATCTCCCATGGTTCACCAAAATGGCTTACCAAAATGGAACCGAGGCCAGCCTCTGTATCTGGGGCAGCAGTCTCCAACCTCAAATCACCAAAAAAAAACAATGGAAATGTTTTTTTTCCTTAAACAATTAAGTTAGCTGGAGGCAAAGGATTAATAACAGTTGTCCTTCTAATACGCACCGTATTTTCGTACTTTCTTGGTGATTTTCATGAGGGAACTTGATCAGATTGTATCAATATGACAGTTTGTCAATGGGTAAATTCATTTCGAGTTACACGCCCCAATAAGTAGCATGGTATTTTGGCTAAAAACAAGCCGAAAGTGTCTCCAAACAATACATTTTTTAGTTTTGCCTCGCAACTTGTTGGTCAATTTGTTGCACACATTGAAATCTCACACTCGATTTAACACACCCAGTTAAAGATAAAAACATGGTTTATTACATGTATGTATGACGATATGTTGTTGAACCACAAATACATATACATATACATAGATACTACAGCATATACATATATACATATATATATATGTAAATATATATATAGTGTGTATATATATATATATTTGTTTACACACACACACATTTACATATATACATGTACATATATACATCGATGTTTCATGTCCAAAACGTGCCTCATTTCCACCAAGGGTTGCTCCCAAAATTTGAAGGAGCTGCTCAATAACGAAAAGAAAATATGAAAACATGTTGGAAACAAACATTATCTTTATGCAAATGCGTGCTGGCCCGTTTTCCAAATGTAGACCGTATCGGCCCGGCGGCCTCTAATTCCAATTACACATGTGCTCTGTCCCAATGACAAGCTGGCCCTGTTTCCAAACGCAAACCTAATTTGAAGAGGAGAAAAGGAAAGAGCAGAGTCTGCGAGCCCCTTCTAATCTGAGAGAAAAAAAGAGGGAGTATTTCACGGTGGCTTCTACTTTCGAGGAAGAACGAGGCGGGTGCCCAAAAAACACTAGACGACGGATGGCCCGAGAGCGTAGAGGAGCAGAGTCTTCTGTTGTTAGTGTGAGACACTATATTACAAGACAATATATTAAAGATGTAGTATAGGCAGACGAGAAGAGTAGTATCAACACAATAGTTTGCATCCTATCTTTCGTATAGTTTTTCACGCACAGAACTTTTTACAGACAAACGTTTTTGCACACACAGAGACTTTTACACACAGACGCTTTTACACACAGACGCTTTTACACACAGACGCTTTTACACACAGATGTTTTTACACACAGATGCGTTTACACACAGACACGTTTACACACAGAAGCTTTTACAGCAAGAAGCTTGTACACACAGACGCTTACGGCGCTTTCACACACAGAGACTTTTACACACAAAAGTTTTTACACACAGCAGCTTGTACACACAGAAGCTTTTACACACAGACGCTTTTACACACAGAGACTTTTACACACCGAGCTTCAATACCCTGATGCAATATGGGGTCACGTGGCGCATCCGACCAATACACAAGCGAGGAATCCAATTGGCTACGGGTTGAAAAATGTTGAAAATGTGGGTACCAACAGTTTGGATCAGTCTGCCCCCTTCCGGAGCTGCTCTATGATGGATTGGTTTGCCTCGCAGTATTCAGGGAAATGTTAAAAAAAGACTGAGCATGGTTCTAAGAGGTATTGTAGAAAGTATAATGGTAAACAAAAGATGTTGCGTTTGGAAAAAGATTTGGCCTATATCTGGAAATAGAGCCAGCCAGCCTGCATTTGGAAAGAGACATATATATATATAATTATATATATAATTATATATATATAAATATACTATACATTAACCGCTCTGCTCCCGTGGCGTCCCCACGGACGAAGCTCCTGGACTTTCGCGCGCAGCGACTCCTGGAGGCTGGAATGATTCGTCTTGGAGGGTTGGTGAATGGCTGGGTCATGGCTGGCAAATGGTTATATATCTAGTGTTCAATATATATATATAATTATATATAAAATTATAATTATATATATATACATATATATATTCGGCAAATGCCTGGGCTGTGCCCCAAACCGCAACGACGACGGGCAACGCATCATCATCATCATCATCATCATCTTCATATTCGATCTTCGATCTTCGATCATCATCATCATCATCATCATCATCATCTTCGATCATCCCAATTGAATCTAGAGTTTAACGGGGGTGGGATTTTAATATACCCTAATACCTCTGTTGATCTTCCCAATTGAATCTAGAGTTTAACGGGGGTGGGATTTTAATATACCCTAATACCTTTGTTGATTTCCCAATGAAATGCAAAGTTTAACGGGGGTGGGATGTTAATATTCCCTAATACCTTTGTTGATTTTCCCAATTAAATGCAAAGTTTAACGGGGGTGGGATTTTAATATTCCCTAATACCTCTGTTGATCTTCCCAATTGAATGTAAAGTTTTACGGGGGTGGGATTTTAATATTCCCTAATACCTTTGTTGATCTTCCCAATTGAATCTAGAGTTTAACGGGGGTGGGATGTTAATATTTCCTAATATATACCTTTGTTGATTTTCCCAATGAAATGCAAAGTTTAACGGGGGTGGGATTTTAAATATACCCTAATACCTTTGTTGATCTTCCCAATAGAATGTAGAGTTTAACCGGGGGTGGGATTTTAATATTCCCTAATACCTCTGTTGGTCTTCCCAATTGAATGTAAAGTTTTACGGGGGTGGGATTTTAATATTCCCTAATACCTTTGTTGATCTTCCCAATTGAATCTAGAGTTTAACGGGGGTGGGATGTTAATATTCCCTAATACCTTTGTTGATCTTCCCAATTGAATGTAAAGTTGCAACAACATTTGATTGGGAATGGGAACCCTCTACGCTGCAACGCAGGGGCAAAGCCCAGGCGTAGCGCGTATACATCATACAATAGTCTTGCAATAATTGTTGGTACGAGTAACAGTGATATATGGCGATTCTACATGTGCACATTAGCATATTTAATGATATTTAAATAGTGTTATAATGTTTTATATATGTTTTTATATATATAAGAAACCCAAGAAAACACCCCCATTGAGTATATCTGGGGTCCCATTTCCAGTGTTTTTGTGATACAAGGATAAGGATGGGACAAATTAGTACACACACCCATTATATACTGGGAAAGGCTCTAAGTTGGAGTACCAACAAAAAAACCTTGAGCTGCAAGTCATGACCTACTCCAAAAAAACAACAGAGAAGCCAAAAAACTTGCAGATGTACAATCTGCGACCCACAATAGTAGGGTTGCAAGCCAATGGATTCTACCGGCGAGGTGCTGAGTTTTCGCATAATGGATGTTGATGACCCTTGTAGTAAAGCGCTGCATAAAGCTAGACTTAAGGATCAGCCAACGTTGGGGGTCGCTGCAAATCTCCAGCTGAGGAGCCGAAATCAGGCGTTGCCTTTGGCTCTGTTGTAGGGCCGCCCTTTCATGCGCCTTCTCAAGGTCTGTCGGCAGCCTTGCAGCAACTTGCGGGCGAGTAAGTCGCTCTCAGATTTGGGATCCTTCACCAAAATGTTCAGACTGTGATGATAGCTGATGCAAACTCTCTGATGGGATCTCATGGTTCTGATTTCTGTGCAAGATTTGAATTTACCAACCAAAATGGATTCTTCACACCGCCGCAAAGTCACCAATAATTGATGGAGATCAACACTCTGTTGCTGATCATAGCTAACCTGAGATACCTTGCTAAAGGTTTTTTTTCAAAAAGGAGATCGCTTAGCAAGATATGAGATAGGATATGATCTTCAAACTTCCTCCGTGGCTTCAGAAACGCCTTTTCAAGTCCCAGGCACGTCACCCATCTACGGGTCCCCCGTGCCACGTGTCGGCCAGCAAGGCGCAGGCGGCACACAGCCACCCCATGCCAAGCCATTTCTTTCAACCGCTGGGGGGAGCTTAAAACTGAAATGCCCGCGGCATGCCCGGTGTTGCAGCAGGCTGCATGCAGGATGAAGGATGCCCTTCATTAAATTTATATTTATCTTTGAGCCTTGGTGGTGCCAGTACATTCTGGTGCTTCCTCAACTAAGCAACATCTTCCGCGAGATGTTCGGATGGCTGGCGCAAACTTTAGGGACAATTTTGTTTACCCGCACCTTCCCTACCCCCTGACAAAATGAATATGGCAATATGACACTCTAAAAGAATGTTGTTTGATTTCATGTGCAAACGAGTTCTCTGCTTTCAACTGGTGCTGTTCGCCTGTGCGAAGGGAAGAAATCTCCACATTTGAATGTCTAAATCTTTGACTCCAAAACGTCTCATTGCCGAAAACTCATCCGTTTGTTGCCACCAGCCTGCACCCCGCTTTTGACTCGGTTCACTTTGCTCCAGCGACAGGGTGATCCTCTTTGGAGCCACCCTCAGGTGCGGGGCCGAGGCAATTGCAGTCGGTAGCAAATTGTGGAGCACTCATACTGGAATAGCATTCCGTGGCCAAGCGTGGAGGGTGAAGGCTGGAATAGCAGTCTGTGGCGAACTGCGGAGCACTCATGCTGGAATAGCAGTCACTCGCAAACTGTGCTGCACCCAGGCTCGAAGTACCTCAGCAAGTGTGGTTCGTTAGGGAAGCAATCAAAAAGATGGGAAAATTAGTTGGAATCGATCAAAGTAGCCATTGAGCCATGTTGGGACAGCCAGCGCAAACCAGGATAGAAAAACTCAATTCTAGCATCCCCAACACCCAATATTGCGTGACAAATGTTGGCCCCATTAAAAATGGGACAAGTTTCAGATCCTCAAAATGACCAAAATCTATCAGTATTTCGAAGGGCATTAGCCTCCGGCAATCAAACATTACCATTTGAGGACCCGAGTGCAAAAAAACTTTGGCCCTTTTTCCATTTGATCACAATTTCTGGATCATATCCCCACCTTTGTGGCTTGAATATCCATATCCCAATGTCAAAGCCATCATCGTTGGTCCCCAAAAAATACCCACAAAATCTCACAAACATGTTCCACTTCTATATCATCTTCTATTCCATACTAAGTTACTAGATTAGCCCATGAATATCGATGAATATCCCAGCCACCAGATCCCCTTAACATCACCAAATCACGTCCAGTCACCAGATCCCTGGGACCCAAACCCGTGGCGGCCGACAGGGAGGAATTCACTGCTGGGGACGGATCCGCCTTTGCAGGACCTCTCGAGCCGAGGTCCAGCATCAAGTGGAGATCATTTGGGTACGAATTTGTATTGTATTATGACCATATCATAACTATCATAACATAAGATATTCTATATATTATTACATTACATATTATATATATATAATTATTGTATAATGCAGGCCGTATGTTTTTTTTGAGAAATCATGGTCATTGCAGATCATTATATATCATTCCATTCCATTCCTTTTGTGTGTGTAATACCCCATTGACCCAAGTTGACCCTTGAAACAATACCCCAATACATCCTAAGTGAACATTTAGTAACCCACAAAAAATGCGTCTTTAAGAAATGCCGCTGACCACTACTTTGGAGGGGCTTGACTTTTCTATCTTTTTGGGGAGGATATGAATATCTTTGAAATCATTCCTTTTTATACTTGTGTTGATGTTTAACAGTTTAACAGCATTTTTCGTTAGTGTATCTATCTTGGGGCCGGTCACACCAATGATTTTGGACACCTTGGGGCCGGCTGTCCCCGGGTCGCCTGCTTTCTCTGCTTGGAATTCTGCCCCGTCGATCACTTCAAACATGCCGACGAAGGTCAGCAACTGAGGAGCTGTGGCGAATATGGTGCCAGTGCAGCTGGGACCCATGCCATTGATGATTTTGTTTGTATCATTTTGTATCCAACAATCCATGTGCGGCGGTATAGAGTGTTGATCAAGTCCCAAGTTCAGGTGGTGGGCAAAGCCACCAGTTCCTCTCAAAAGATCAAGAACTATGACGATGCTTGGGGACCTCAAACTTGAAGAAGCCGCCTCTGAAATCGCAAACTTTTTGCACGTTCCATTGGAAAATTCGGCCATTGTTGCATTTTCATGCATTGTCTACTTCTTGCCCGCCCAAGTTGTACTAAACCACTTGAACCTTGAACTAAGTGGCCGCCAAATTGTTTCTCTCAGAATGGACCTGCGAGGTAACTTTATTAAACTTTATGTTTGCAATTCAATGGACCCCCCGGCCTTGCAACCCTTCTTCTGGGAACCCGACACCCAGGGCGCAGAGCAGAACCAGCACAGCATCTACACCACTGACGCTCATCAACTCCAACCTGTGGTGGAATTGCCCAGTTTTCTGCAGAAATCCAGCACAAAACCTTCAACGAATCCCCAATTCCTGCTAGAAATGGGTGCTGTCAACCGCACACGTGTATGTGTACACAATTGTATAATATACTGTACAAATATATAGACAAATAGATAGAGATAGATAGGATGGAATGGGATAGGATAGGAAAAGATTAGATTGGATCAGATTCTAGATCAGATTGGATCAGATTGGATCAGATTAGATTAGATTAGATTAGATATAGGATTAGATTAGATTAGATTAGATAGACAAACAGATAGATATATATGACGATATATATATATTATTATATATATATATATGACTATATACATACATAATAATATATATTAAAGTAAATTACTATATATATAATCTATATATAAAATATACAATTCCAATTGAAACTTGATTGTTGACATCCAAAACGAATTGAGCCAAGTTGTTGCCACCTGTGTCCGTTGGAGCCATCTGGACGAGCCTCGGCGGGAAGGCCGCCAAGCCATTGGATTTCACATGTTCGTCCAAGGATTAAAAGAAAAAGAAAGGAAACCATGGGAAAAACTGTGAACAACTGATTTAAGAATAAGTTTTCCAGGCCACAAGTGGCGATTAAACTTTCCAAAAGTATGGGCCAATATGGGCCATGGGCTTCATTCAAAATTTCTGTTCAAAGACTTTCTGCCATGAAATCTCGGCAGGTAACTCCCCAGGCCCCCGGACCACTGTGGCCAGCAAGCATCCCCGCTGGCGATGGTTTACGGGAAGCTTTCCTGCAACGGACCCAAAAAAGTGAATTCCTTCAAGGTGAAATGGAAATCTGGGGTTGTATCCTTTGACTGGGACAGGTTTCATCTTTGGGATTCCCTCCTGAAAGTCCCACCCCGTCCAAAATCATACAGCAAAGTCCCAATAATGATCCATTTGAAACCAAACTCGTAGAGCTCCAGTCCTTTTCAAATTTGCTGAGTTGTCCCACAATCGTCTTACTACAGAACCCAAACACCCTTCGCTTGTACCAGTGCTTTAGTTAACTGGCCAAGTTACCATTTTCTGCTAGAATCCAGTTTTGAGGTTATATTTCAACAACAGGCTCTTACTATCTCTTACTTACCCATCCCATCCCATCCCCATCACAGCTCGGATCATCCGAGGGCAGCCAGCCCAGCCTAGTCTGTGAAAGCCGTCTTTGAGATCTTGGTAGATTCGCTGGCCCGTCCTCAGAGGTATAGGGAAGGGATTGGATCACCAAACCAAACTGTCAGAACCTCCTGAAATGAGGACCATATGGGTCCGGGCAAGACTGCTAGGGCGCCCCACCCTCTCCGTGGCAGCCATACAGCCGTCAGGATGCCTGGCAACAATCCTTGCTGTATCAACATCGGGATTCCTTGGGATGATTGACCACACATATTGGTCTTTCTTGGGCCTTAAATCTTGACACATATTCACGTGACACCACGTGGCCCAATGTTCATGGTTGGTGGCAGGAAGTGCTTCCGAGGCAATTGGGCGCAAATCACACTCTATTCCACGCGTTCAGATCCTGGCATTGTTCCTGTACCCTGGTGACCTGGTGGATCAGTGAAATGCGATGGTGGCAGGTGGCACGATTGACAAACGGAATGGGGCAAGGTTACTTTTTCTGGTGGATTCCCTGGTGGATGAGACTTTCCTGTGGATCTTCAACTTGGGGGTCCACAAATCCCAAAGAGACCGCAGGCACCATCGTCTTCGGCCATGGACCATCGGGCATCACACCCACTATCTTCTTGCAGTAGGTACCTTGCCCCAGTGAAGTGTGGGGCAGCTGACCCTGACATAGACCGATGGGTGGATCTGAGCGATGTACATCCAAGTCTTGGAATCGCAAGACTTGTGGGTCCCCGGCCATGAATTGTGATATTTCATCAAGATCCTTATTTTATAAAGGTTTCGGCCAGTAATGGCGACATCCCACTTCAAAGAGACCCTGATGTCACCTCAAATATTGAAGTACCACACAGGTTTGCAATCTTGCATTCGTACCAAAGCTTGGTTTTTTCAAAAACGACAGTAGGTGAAACATGGTGAAACAGCCAAAAAAAGATCCAACATGTGTTGTATTTTCATGCCCCCGTGCCCGCAGGCGCCACTGAGCCACCAGGCTCCCCTCGGTGTGCTACTAGCCGACCATACCTGGCCAGAGTCGTTGCCCAGGATTCCTGGGGAGGCTATGGACAGCTTGAGATTTTACCAACAAAATGGAGACTTCAACCTGCAAACCATTAATTTATAGAAATGATAACTAAAATTGGGGTGATGCTTGCAGTATCTTGTCCTAAACAAGGAAAACTGGGTCTTGTAGCCAAGGAAAACGGGGATCCCCTAGATATGAGCAAGGTGCCATCCTAAAACAACGTTGGGTGGTGTCTTGGGTCACAAAAGGAGATCACGAGAGTCAACCAAACAAGCCGGAAAATGAACCTGGCAACACAAAAACCCGATGAGTAAATGATCTACCTATTCAGGGGGTACAACAATCAGAGATGATGCGCTGCCATGGGCTCCTTACATAGTGACACTGCCGGCAACGTTCTCAAAGCTTTTAAATGTGACCAAATGGAACAAGAACGATATTCGTCAATATTCTGGACCCTGAACATTTACCACTGGCTGCTCGTATCCCATATATTGGATCGTTTTACTATGGTTTGCTCCATGTGCAGCATGTGCATGCATTTTTGGTTGCATAGCTTCCCAGTCAGACAAACTCCCGTCCCCTCGCCAACCTTCGGCCATCTGGGATCAAAATCTCCAAATTGGAGGTGATGGTCCTAGGTACAGAGGTCAAACTCTTGGCCGCAAGAAAAAGGATAGGAACAATATGGAAAAATCATACCTTCACGCGATAGTATCCACACGGTGCCTGGAGTATACCATGTCGGTTGAATTCATCCAGCTGCGAATCTAGCTAGTTCACACAAAGTCTGAATTTGAACTAGGGATAGCACCAAACAAGAACCGATGGCTGGATCCCGCGAAAATGAACAGATTTCCAGTGGCCATCCCAATGAACTGGTTTGCCAGTACACAGTAGCACTTTGAAGGCAAGGACAACCTACCAGGCTACCAGGATTCACTCAATCAGGGTTGACAGTAGACTGCAAAAATTGACGTCCACGTGTGAACTGCTGCGTCCCTATGGTCTGCAGCCCCCATGGCTGATTTTCGTCAAGTGAGCAGGGTTGAATGTGCGAATCATACCATTGCCATTCACAGGCGAATGGCAGCAAGTTCGGTTGAATAATGTCCGAAATCTACTCACAGAGCTTGCTGGATTTCCACCATTTCGGCATGATCTTTGTGCGCTTCTCTTGTTCTAAGAAACACAGGCCCCAGCTAGCTAGCAGATGCTAGCAACTAGCCTTCCTTTGGCGTTAGTCTGAACAACATGAGCCAAAAAGTGACACTCAGGCGCTTGCGTTACAAACATGTGTAAATGAAGAGCCTGGCTCTATCTCCACTACATGTTGCAAAACTTACAACTACAATCTGCTGAACTGCATCCTTGAACATAAGTCAGCTTTTTACAATCCCAAAAAAATAGACGATCACAGATAACTTCGGTAGATTGACATCTATCATCTCCATGGCTGTGTGATCAGCAACTGATAATGCGGAACATTCAAGCACCAAGAATCTTGGAGATGTGTAATCTGCACAAGTTGTTACAAACCCCAAAAAAACAAACATCAGAAAAAATGGGTGGAAGTCCCTAAACCTCTGGGCTCTACTCTGATGACTCCTCAGAGGTCTGCGCCAAGACAGCGCCCCGCTGCAAGATCTTGGGCGGCGCCACTAGGCGCACCTTTGGAGGTGCAGGGAGATCATCCTGCTCCTTGAGCCCTAAAGGCACTGGGAGATCATCTTCGATCACTTTCCTTCGTGGATGCGCATTTTGAGGGTGGAAGATGCTGGAATTCTTGGGGAAAACAACCTGGATCCAAAAAAGAAGCAAAACAAAACAAAGGGGATTCGGGATGAGCTCACGAACCTGGAGAGATGTGTTCCATCCTGCCAAAACTGGGTTAGATCCACACCAAACAGCAACAGGTCTAAGTTTGAAAAAGCTTTAGATTTTCTCACGCACAAAATAATGTAACTCTCCAATGGACCCAAAAAAAATATGCTTCCAAAAGAAACCAAGTTTCTCTTTGGGGTGGTCCTCATCTGCATCATCTTCATTGGGATGTTCCTCAATTCGCGTCTTATCTGCTGGCCACAAGTCCCGAATGCCGTTCTGCTGCCGCAAGACCTTCTTGACCAAGGGCCCCGTGCCACGGCGGCTTGGGTCGGCCTTTCTTTGCTTCATGTCTCCTGTTCGTGGATCTATAATAACCCTCCTCAGATGCTAGTTACTACTTTATCACCTTAGTCAAAAAAAAACTCCCAAGAGTTTGGTCCAAAAAAAAATAGTGACAGATCCAAATCTTGAAGAATCACCTCCGCATTTTTCGACAAATCTCCGAAGAATTTCCCCCCGTGCTCCTCGCCGCTCCCGGTCTTCCTTGTCCACCCAGCTGGGCTCGGGTGTTTCCTCCGGGGGGCTCGCCTCACGGCCTGGAGATAGGACTCGGTTGTTTTTGGGGCCCGAACCATCCAGCTATTGGGGATCCCCCATTTATGGAACCCCCCAGTCTATTATTATAGGTATTTATAAGTTACATACATACATATATATATATATGTATATATATATGTATATATATATATATGTAGTTATATATTTATATTATATATATATATATGTACACGTATATATATGGCTGTGAGTCAAAATTGTGTATGGAACGTTCCGCGGTGTTCCGGATGTATGGAACGAAGGGGCTTCGTAACTGTTCTTGTTCCGGACCTTTGGAGTGTGATGAAATATAAGCTATACATACATATGTACATATATATATATATACCTATTGTAAATATGTGTGCAATATACATCTCAGGGATATGCTTGTTAAAGCTACTCACGCTGGCTGCCGCTCATTTTCACTTCTCATCTGCACATATCTGCACGACATGCTTGCTGTACACCTGTTCAACGCAGGTTTGCCTTGCATGGCTAGTTCTCGTGCACTAGCTAGGACACAACCGGTAGCCAGCGTCATCCACAGGCTACCATGTGAAGCTGTGGGTATGGAACGGTATGGAACGGGGTCTGGAACGAAACGGCCCACTCCAGCACAGCTGCCACCACGCAGCACATCTATTTATCAACCACGCAGCGCATTTTTATCAAAATTGGCAGGTTGGAGCGAGAGTAGACTGCCAGCTGGCTGGCAGCTGGCGAGCGCATCTCTACCATCAAACATCACAGCTGTGCCGCAGCAGGCAACAACTGTAAGTGGTGCAGTCGGAAACCTGCCACAGGTTGAGAGGGAGAGAGGGTTACAAGCAATCCATTCTTAGACTGCCAGCTGGCAGCAGCCAAGCCCATCCCTACCATCACACAACAAAGTAGGTAGCAGTTTTAAGTGCTGCAGGCACAGACTTCCCAACACAATCACAGGGCTTGGGCTGTATGTGCGCAAACATGTAAAATCAAATTGCACATGTTCATATATATATATTAAAAATACAATTATAAGTTAATTATATATCTATTGTATATGTATTTGCAAAATTAAATATACATAAAATTTTAAATATATACATAATTATATCATATATATATACATAATAATAATATATATATTATAACGTATGGATCAGAGGTATGGAACAGAGGTATGGAACGGATCCTTCAAGGGGGTATGGAACGGGGGTATGGAACGGGGGTATGGAACGGGTGTGGTCCCGGAGCTTGTTCCGGACCTCCTATTTTGACTTGCACCCATATATATATAACCAATGATTCTGCAAAAATCAAATCTTGACCATTTGGGAGGTGATTGTTTGGGGTGAGACATTTGGAGTTGAATAGCAGTAATTATTGGTGGTTCTATAACTTGGGGGCCACAAATTGTCATGATTATGGTTCGGTTTATTCTGTCTGGTGATGGGTCATAACTTGGGGAACCCCTGTATTGGAGAATGAAACGCAAAAAAATGACTGTGGCTAACCTTCCATACCCTGTAACCAGTCAACTCTGATTCCTCCGTTGCTTGTTAAGAACTAGGCCAATCACCGACCATATCAAAGTTTTACCCAAGACCTATGACATTGACAAAACTTCTGTAGATAGATAAGCCTAGCTAGATCAAAGAAGATCACGTCAGATTAGAGAGATAGATGGAAAACTAGATAGAACTAACAAAAGGGCTGAGAACAGAAAAATGTTTCAGATCATGCACAAATCACAAATAAAAGATGGTGTGTTTATGATTAACAACCAATAACAACCATGGGCTGAAATTAGCTTCAAGAGAACCACCAAATCTAATTACTTAACCGTCAAATTTGAGGGCCAATCCTTTTCAGCCATTCCCACCTCTCTCTGAAAAATAGGGATGACATCCGGAAAAAAGAACAAGCTTCTGCTGCATAGCATGGCGTGGCATGGCATCACATGTCAAAGCCTAGATAGATAGATCGGCAGACAATAGATTAGATGAATATATAAATACATCATAGAATAATTGGATTGGATTGGATTATATTAGATTAGATAGACAGATCGATAAATAGATAGATAATTACAGTAGATTTCTTAGAGTGGCAACAACTCAACTCAGGTTTGCCCCTTTGGATCCTGACATCCAACGTGCCCGGCCTGCCGTGGCGCCAGCCGCAGAGGGCACATTCGCCGGTGCTCGTTGCGACCAGCGCTCCTTGCGATCGTCGAGGTCGTCCTGCGCCTCGAAATCTGGCAACCTGCAGGGACAAAATGGCTGAAAAAACCATAAACCCAGCAACATCTTCCTTGGCAGACAAACCCTCATTTTGGGTGTTGATTAAAAATCCTCATGTTTGATAGATGAAATCCTCATTTCGATGTGATGGTTTAGCATTTATTTCGCTTGGTGAAAGAATGGGAACCGGAGATGAAAGTTGGCGACAGGAAGCTCACATTGGACATTCAGAAAACTTGCAGATGTTGCTGATATGTTTCCGTTCACCCACGTGGTTTCCGGTTTGCCCTCAGCACCTCAGAAGTGGGACGCCATTCTTCAGGACCTGCCACTCGCGACTGGATGCACTGGGGGACCTTCGCAGGGATTGCAGTGAGAGACCTGCGATGGACCCCAACTTCTTCAACACTTTGGACGTGTGAAGGCCTTGGTTGACATCGTCGCCACATAAAAGCACTGGTGTGCAATGGTGATGAGGTGTCATGGTCATGCCACTATCCTGTAAAGCAAACAATTTAGGGCAGCAGGAGAGTTCAAGCAAAATTAAAACTTAAGTCAATTCCAAACCAAGGGGAGATCACCATCGGCTGCTCTACGAGTAGAAGCGCAGCCAACATTTTCTGAATTCTCGAAACACCAGACTCCAGCCCGAAAAAACTTCAGAAAAAAAAAACAAACAAGCCAAGTTGCCGTTGTGGCTCAAGTCCACTTTCACCGGCTCCACCTTATTTGGTCGATCCTTGGAGTACTTCGGATGCTCGACGAAGAGAGTCAGCAGCTCCAAGGCTCCCGAAGACTCTTCCAGGAAGTTCTGGGAGAGGTCCAACTCCCCTGAGCCGCAGTGAAGGTCGATGGTCGAGAGCTCGGAGATCTCTATGGTAGATTCGTTGTACATATCATACAGTAAGTAACTCAGCAACCATCAAAAAACGGGATTTTCATGGATTTTCATGGATTCTCATCATAATATGACCATCAGACATGGCCAGGTGAAGCATCTGAAGTGCTGGAGGCACTTCACTCTGACCAGGATACTTCCATCAGGAGATTGGCCAACAAAATATGCGGGATGTTGCAACTGAATGCAAATGAATAACAGAAAGACAGGGATTTAGTGAACAAAAAAAATCACGGTTTAGACTAGTTTAGACCCTCCAACAAATGAATAATCTATTGTCGCGGTCATAAAAACCGCTGGATCTCTTAGGAAAGCTGTCAGGGACAATCGTCGCTGGTCCAGTCGTATGCCAAGGCGCGCAAGTTGAATTGAGCTTCGTGGATGAAGTCACAAATTTGAGAGAGGCCTGCGGCTGTTGACTTTTGGTCCTGGTTGGATGATCAAAAAGAAGAGTACTCCACAGGCAAAATGTAAACTAAGATTTCCATAGATTTAACTGTTGTAAACTGTTGTAAACAGTTGTAAACTAGTCACTGTATGTCACTGTAATTCTCTTGTCATTCAATATCTGCAAAAACTTCCAACACACCCCCTGAGGCACCCTTTCCATCCATCCCCTCGCCGTGGCACCATCCCCAGGCCCGGTCCGCCTGCGCTGCCGATGCCGTTGCCCCGGAACTTCAAAGTCCGCACGCGCAGCTGCGAGCGCTGCAACGCCTGCAGAAGTCGACCAACCGCATCGTCCCCCATCTGATTCCAGGCTAAGGACACCTCAGCCCAAACCTGGGAGAATGGACGAATGGTGCCTCTGAGGACTTGAAAAATGGTGCTGGAAAATGGGAAAATGCTAGAACTTGGGAGATTTGAATGGATGGGAACTGGGGATGAAGTAATTGATGCCATGGTGTTCTGTAATCTTGTATATAGACTCGAAATATCCAAGTTGTCCTGTTGCTTGTAGTCCTCTTGTCCTGCTACAGCATCATCCCCTTACAATCAATGAACCACCTAGCCTAGGCTCACAAAGCACCAAACAAAGGGCCGCAAGTTTTTCATAGTAACAAACTTTTTTGGTGTGACTCAAAATCATGTGATCCCTACCAAATACATCCAAATACATGGTTTAATCTAATCTAACCCACAAAATGACCAAGTTTGAGGCCATCTTTGAGCCATGCTGTGCAATTGCTCAGCCTGGGAACCATCTGCATGGACCGAATCTGATGCTGTTCACGCATCAATTGGAAGGTGTGATGCAGCCAACGACAAAAGACCTGCATTCCTTCGTCGTTCAGCGGCGGCGTCAGTTCGTCCATGCACAGCTTCAAGGTCCAAGATGTGGATCCATCTGCGGCATGGTGAGGCCTCCATGAGTCAGGGGAGCAACTCACGGCGGTTGAACCCGTTGAACCCATCCCACACATATTTACGGAGGACTTTCTGCGATGTCCAAGGCCGATTGAAAGTTCTAAATTCCTAAGTCCATGATCTCGTTGGGTATGCTCCCCCTAAAAGCTCTCAGACCCGATAAAAACTCCCAATGGTTGCCATCTTCCAATTTCCAATTTCCAATTTCCAAGGCGTCAAAGAGTCAGCCTCTTGCTGCCACATGCAAAGCTCTCGAATTAAAAAACTATACAGCGATCAGTGCCCCTGGTAGTCTGGGAGGTGCGTGCTGTGCTGATGGATGACTGTGCAATCCAACAATGCCTCCCTCAACCATTCGCGCAAAAACTGATCATCATTTGGAAGATTGCAAGGCTGTACACCAGCACGGAAGTCTGTGCAAAGCTGGTCAATCACCGCTTTGGCGATGCCTTGCGAAAAAAGGGGTGGATATTCCTTGCAAACCGCCGTCTTGAATTGCCCTTGTGCATCCTTCCCAATTGCCACTTCAGTTGGAAATGTTGCAGCTCCATCAGCACAAGCGTACATGGAACGGCCAAGAAACGGTAAGCGTAGGCTCATGAGTCCAGTTGGTTTCTTCACCGGAGCACCCCACTGCCATTGATTGAAAATGCGAAGTGAGATGTCAGGATGAGCCAAAAGCAGTTGAATGATAGCGCTGGTCCATATCGAAGCTTTATCAGGATCAGTAGGAGGAGCAGGGTGCTCGCTAAGAAAGATCCCGCCACGCGTCAAATGCCAAATGCATGCCATAATGGCCTGTAGCATAAAGGCACTACCTTGGCGGCATTGTCTGAGCTCCTTGGCCCTCAGGCCATCAAGTCCAAATAATCGCTCGAATGTTCGCAGCAGGCGAGGCCATCTTCGTTTCACATGCTCTGGCGTGTCTTCAGGAGGAGGGACATGACGGGCAGCTGAAAATGTTTCGCAGGGACTGCCACATATCGTGGCAGAGACCACTCCCTGCTCATACAGTTTCTCCAATTGTTGCCACGAAATGGAATTAGCAGAAAGGTCACCATAATATGATGAGACCGCTGTGTCCATAGAAAGAATCGCAACCTCCAGTCCTCGGCCACGGGCCATTTGAACCAAATGCCAGTGTACATCGGACTCACGTCGTCTGCCACTAAACAAATGTACAATGAGAAAAGTAGGCCGGTCAAAAACACCATGGGCAATAGGGGTGGGTTTGTCATTTGGGAGGTCTTTCCACTGTATCTTGCGCAACTCGCTATGCCACTCACTCTGATGCCTAAACTGCGTGAGGATAGTGTCATCATCATTTCTGGCTGACCGAGAATGACAATCATCCTCAGGTTTCCGAATAGGCCGGTGGTTGACATCGACTGCCAAGTCTGTCTGGGCTTGTGTGATACATTGTCGCAAAAAAGCAACTCTGTCCCTCATCTGACTTCTCGGCATATCTTTGGAGACCTGATAAAAAGCTTCGTCAGCAAAAATTTCTGCTTCTCCATCAAGAAATTCAGCTGTGACATCGGGGAGGTCATCTCGTCCCCAAAGCAGGAGACCATCAGAATACCACGCATCCAGCTCATCAGGCCATTGTATAAGATAGTCAAACCAGCGATCCTCAAGCGGTCCAACCTTCTGAATGTCATGGGAGAGATCACAAAACTGGTGGAACCATTCCTTGGTGACACGCGATAGGCCCATCCTCAAAGTCAGAGCAGCAGCTTCTTCATTGGGAGGCCATTTGATGTCTCGGAGCTCATGCTCGATGTTGGCTATCTCAGTCCTCCATTCCTTAATACGCGTTTCCAAAAGGGGGGTAAAACACGTCAAAGGACCTGCACATGGGACCGATTCAGCTCGGTTAGCACCCCGGAGGCGAGAAGGCATTCGCAAGCTCTCATACACCGTGGTGTAACCACTTTTCCTGAGCGTCTGATAACATCTGTTTCGGCCTGTTTTCCTGGACACATAGGACAAATGCTGTTGGAGCCGTTGGGTGGTCCAAAAATGGACGAGGCAAACTGGGCAAGTTGCCCCATTAAGCAAATCATGTTCCAACGAGAAAATCCCATGCGCTTTGCGTCGATGAGTAGACAGGCCTTGAGCAGTGTCAAAATGTCGACCACAATGGCAGTGAAATGCACCTTCCCCTAACTGTCGCCCAAAGAAGGGTGGGTCAAAAACAGCATCATGCCGCTCAAGTTCTCGAAAGAACTTCCTGTGCCAGTGATAAACATCTTGCATCATGCCTTCCTGCAATAAGTGCTGCTTCCCTGCTTTCCGTAGTATGCCTTTCCAACCTGGGGTCCCTTTTGCCAGTAGTCAATCACTTCAGTGAGTGATGTTGTCCACTCAACAGGAATGGAGTCTGGCACCAAGTGATGCAACCAGTGAAGATCAGCAAACAATCCCCCGATCCAGGAACTTGGGAGATCCTGAAATTCAATATGCAAAAGATGGTGCGCAAACGCCGGACCATGTTGGAAAAGTTTATGAGCATACAAGAGACGATCTTGGGCAAGGCGAATCCTGGGTTCCAAGAAGTGCGCAGTTGCAAAGATTTCACTGTCTGTCATCCTGTTTCCATCAAACTTTTTCCCCGTAAGAAGGATACAGTGGAGGAAATGCGCAATGGCCTTCCGCAGCTGATGCAGATGGGTTTGAGAAGGAGTGGCCCAAGCCCCCAAACCAAAATAAAGGCGTGTGCAAACAAGTGCCTGAAACAATTTCAAACGGGTATGCACTGGTAAGTGGCGATTGCAAAAGATTGGCCGTCTCATGGAACTAAAGGCTGACGCCGCTTGACCAATACGAAACTTGACCTCTTCCGAAAAGTCCAGGCGGCTTGCAAATTGTGTGCCAAGATGGCGATAGGAAGCCGACACATGCAGCCACCGTTCTCTGCCATTGTCAAGGGAACACCAAAACCCGCTCGGCTCTTGGATGAGGAATTCTTTGCGTAGGGCCGCAGCACCCTTGCCCTGGAAGGACAACACAGCTCCCGTCTTCCCTCTTTCCATATTGAGATCAAACCCTCTGCGTGTGAAAAGGCGATCAACTGTTGCAAGGAGTGCTTTAATTGCCGGTACTAATTCTTCTGGTTGCCTGGTGCACCATGGGATTGCCAGGTCGTCACTCCAAACAATCGAGTCAATTTGCACATCAAGCTTGCAAAGGGCCTGTTGATACTCATGTTGTGCTTCAATCCAAGTGTTAATCTCAAGGACAATATCCATCATTAAAACATGGAACACAACATCAGCAAGCGGGCTTCCAGGTCGAGTGCCTCGTCTGGTTCGGGTGATACCTGGTAGAGCTGCTAGTGTGTGCCATGTATTGGTGTGAACTTCACGCATGAGTTGCAGCAGGATAGGTGAGGCTCCTAGACGCTCGAGCAACCCTGGGACATTCAACCAAGCACGGAGGCCTCGATTGGTCCCTTGATCCCTTTCGAGGTGGTCAACCACCGCTTGGGCATCCGCAGGTGTGCCAATCCCGCAAACAAGTTCGCGGACAAGGCGGTGAAAAGCATTGGAAAGGTCAACGAAAAGCACTCCAGTACAGAACCCATGGTGGTAAGCAACACGACAAAAAGTGCGGAGAGCCTGGGAGGCAAACCCAACTTGTTGGTGCTTGAAACCGCCAATTTGGCCAGGTGGTTTGATTCTCTCAATCAACTGGACTGTACTAGTTCGCAAGAGTGCATGTATACGCTTGGCAACTGTAGGCAGAAGCATGATGCCTCGGAAATGCCGGGCCTGTGAGGCCCCAAAGCGTTTTGGAATCACTGCCATCTTGCCACCTTTGTATGTAATTGGTTCGGATTGCCACAGGTAAATCTTGAAAACCAACTCAAAAAAGAGTCTGGCAGTTTCGGCAGGGAATGAATGAAACAGCCCTGATGCGATGGGATCGAGTCCAGTGGACTTGCCACCTTGGGTACACCGAAACATATCCTCAATTTGTTGGAGAGAGGGCACATCATCCAAATTACACAATTCTTTCACACTCCCATGAGTCAGTTGAAAACGATGGCATTCTTGCACAAGCTCATTAGCTTCAACTGAACTACCCGCTTCAAGATGTTGAAAATACGGGTGCCACTCATCCTCAAGTGCCTCAATTTGTTCAGGAGGGGCATGCAATCTCCGCTGTTGAAACTTTGGCAATGACCTTCGCACCGTCCTCCAGAGGTCTTTGGCCTGACTCGGCTGAGTAAAGGTGCCAGCCTCTTTGGCAAGGGCTTGGAAGAATACGACATCATCATGCCGAAGGGCTTTGACTGCAAACCGCCCAAGTCTCCGAAACTGAAAGAGCGCTTGTGCAATCAGCCTGTCTTGCAGTGCTAGGATCTTCGCAACTTCATCAGTTTCAGGTAGAGGGGCCAAAGTCTTCCATCTTTGAAAACACAGCTTAAGGATCGTGCTTTTCTGCAAGGTTTGTGCATGCCAAAGATGGTTCCGCCAAGCTCGTTTGTCACTGATGATTTTCCATGTTGCATCTGACATACCCTCTTTTCGAGGCTTCTTCTGCTTCAAAGTCGGCCTCGTACCAAACTGCTGGAGCAGATGCATTTGCAGCAGATTTGAGTGGGTGTGAACATCAATCGAGAAGTCAGGCTTCGGAATCAGTGAGAATAATGCAGGCTCAATACCTGACACACTGTCATCATGAACGACACGAAGGGTCTGCCTAGGGTGGTGACGAAAATCACGACAGGGTCCTTCGAAACGAACAACAGCTGCCCGGTGATCTTCCTTAATGGTGGACACATCAATGTCTTCACAGATGAAAGCTTGACACGTTGTGAACCCCCATTGAACAGGGAGTCCGATATAGTCACCACGCAACCAACTACCATTAGTGTGTCGCCACGTACCTCCAGGGCCGTGCTGGTAGTTGTCAAAAGTGCATGGAAGCCAAATCCCCTGTTCACTAAGGAAGGACCTGAAAAATTCAGATTTGGATGTCTCGGTTTCCGC